TTTTCCAATATTGAAAAATTTTGAGAAATTGTCGGGTCTTGCAGTTGACAGTTGCAGTGTGAAGCGATGTGGCAAACCTCTGAAAGTGAAATGACCGAATATTATTTAAATTGTAGGAATTTATTTAAACTAGCTACTGAAAGGAACTTTGCTGAGCCCATGGAGAAACTGTGAATGTCATTTAAATTTTGGAAACTCAGAAAACTAACTCTGCTTGGAAAGGTACAGATTATTAAATCTATGGGAATTCCTAGGCTCCAATATGTACTAAATCGTACAGCCTGTCCTAATAGAATTGTTATTTCAATTTATGTGGAATGGGAAGGATCGGGTTGCACGGAAAACCGTGGTTGGGGAAGTAGGAGAAGGTGGGGCCGACATTTTTGCTATAGTTAAGGTCCAAGGTATAAACTGGCTGAGGCGTTACCACGACAACAATACCCATTCATGAAAATGTTTTTTACATAGAAAATGTCACAGTATTGGTGGAGTCAAATCACTGTTGAGAGCCAATTTTAAAATAAAACGTTTACCTATTGTACTTATGGGTCTAAATATTAGAATGATGCAGCCTGGATTTCTGTGGTTGGGGAAAGCAAAGATGAGGAGCATTTCCTCAACCAAGCTATCTGGAATAATTATAATATTCTTCAAGGGGGTAAAAGTATTTTTAACAACTATTTTTGTGAAGCTGCATTTCAGTATGTTGGACATCTTTTTAATAAACATAGTCAAGTCTTACAATGGGGGGGGGGGGATCTTGTCAAGAGGGGTGCCCGTCACTGCTATCTGAAATGGTATGGGATAATTGCAGCGATACCATCTAGCTGGAAACAAAATGTTGATATGTCAAAATTTACAAGGACCAATGATGAGAATACTGAGATAGGTAAACCATTTATTGGAGTCTGAGTCAGTGCAAAATTAAACCAGTTACCTGGGGTATTGTAAAACATTATTTCATTTCTCTGCGATCGGAAATGTTCTTTATAAAAGCATTTAATTCATTTATAAATGAATTGGGAAGTATTTTTTTACCATTTAAACTTACCATTGATTTAAAATTAAGGTAATTTCAGTGGGAAAATTTCTCACAATATCCTGGTTACAAACACAATACTCTACAAGTAACCTGTAGAATACTGTGTGGGTATTTTTTTTATATTGATTTTTGTTGCATTTGCAGTAAATAGTTACCAAACAATGAGAAATCTATAGGATTGAATATACCCCACAGCTGGCTTCACATGCAGTGTTCATAGTTCATATGGTGCTTACACCAGGATTTAATTACAGCACCTAGGCGGTATGTGGTTACAGTAATCGCAAGAAATTGACATGACAATAGAAATTCATTAAAGACTGCCACTCCCATGCAATTAATAGCGAGTGAAATTCCTGGGATTGAAACATATATTT